CTATGGCCTCATTTTCTGCGGCCTCTTCATCATCTCTATTCTGGACAGCAAAATCGGCTAAACACAGGATCTCAAGATCAGTTGGTCATTGTTAAAACCGCTCCAGCAATCCTTTGACGAATATGTCATAATTCATATTTGGAAGGCTGTGGATTTGAGAATTCGAACTCGTTACTCTGCAGGGAAAGTATTCACAGGAATACATTTGTTTGCTATTCCACACGAAGGAATGCCTAGACAACAATATACGGCTTCGTGAGCAGATATCTCAGTGCCCCGAAAGTTTCTGACCAATGTGCTGCAGCTTTTGTGTGATCGTGTAATTGTCCCTTACAGCTTCTCTTAGGTGCATTAAAGTGGACATAAGCTTTGGAATACCCCTTTGATATTTATTTGTATGGTTTATTATGTAGCTACAGAATGCATTACGGTTCATTAGGAGGCATTGGAGGCTATGGAATAGCCTTTTATTTTATTTTTGGAGTTTATAAAAGTCTACGGATAAAAGTTTAAGGTGCAGCCGTTTGACCAAACGCATAAATACGATTTTACCGTGAAATACCGTTAAAAATCTCAAAATTTAAAAGAAACGAGGGGGAACGTTGTGAGCTGCTGCGGAGACCGCAACTCTACATTTATACCCGATACATAGTCAGTATGGCTCTCCTCCGGCAGACGCCGCTAATATTGAACGACACGACAAAGAATGCGTGCGAGAGAGACAGAAAATCTGAGCGTGACGTCGGGCGCTGCGTAGCCACTGCAAATTGATTTCTTGCTTTTGGCTACAAAAATGATCCGATCTGATCCAGATTCGGCAATCTGATAGATATGGTCATTATCTATGATTCTGCATTTTCAGTTTGCTTGAATGTGCAATATTGTGCATCCACAGATTTTCGTCCTTTGCGGGGGCGGAAGGGGGTGTGGCGAAATTTGGACACGAAACGGTCAAGGTCCGATATCACAGGAGTGTGGATACCAAAGTTGGTTGCTCTGGCTCTCATAGGTTCTGAGATCCTTGAATTCATATTTTGCAATTGGCAAAACCGACCATGAAACCTGTGTGTTAGAGAGAGACAGAGCGAGAAAGAATAAAATTGTTTTCTTGATTCTGGCTATAATAATTATACGATCTGGTTGAAATTTTACACTCTAGAACATATAGTCATCCTCTACGATTCTGCGTTTTTGCTTTTATCGTATCTTTAAAAATGTGGATGCCACAGGGGACGGACAGACGGACGGACGGACAGACGGACAGACGGACGGACAGACAGACATGGATCAAGAATATATATACTTTATGGGGTCGGAAACGATTCCTTCTGGACGTTACACACATCCACTTTTACCACAAATCTAATATACCCCAATAATCATTTTGAGTATCGGGTATAAAAAAATGAGGTAACGTTGTGAGTCGACGCTACGGCCGCGAATCTATATTTATACCCGATACTAAGTCACTATTCCTCAATTTTCGTTCTTTGTAACAGTTGTAACACTTGTAACAGTGTAATATCACAGGAGTCTGGACACAAAATTTCGTTGATCCAACTCTTATGAGTCTATGAGACCTAGGCGTCTGATAAGGCGGACGGACGGACGGACAAACAAGGCTCTATCGACTCGGCTATTGATTCTGATCTTTTTGGTGTTACACACATCCACTTTCCCCACAAATCTAATATACCCCCATACACGTTTTGAGCATTGGGTATTAGAATGGTTTTTACCTGGTGAGAAGATATATTATTTCGTTTGCTAATTTTAGCTTTATTTCATTTACATTGGCAATCTTGTGTCGTGTGCGTGTGTGTGAATGAATATAAACACACAAGCATTTGTGGGGGAAACCGAATGTAATCCAACTAACGAGGAGAGGATTATAAAGCGCTGTCTAGCCAATCGCAATGGCTTTTACTTTGATGTAAAGTGCCGACAGCCAAGAAAGCCTAAGCGGACTGTGCCACACACGGCCGGCATACATCAGGCCGGCAGAAATCACTCATAGTCTAGACGGGCCAGCAGGCAGACAGATTAGCACAAAGCAATTTCCTTTTGTCATCAAATATCCTTGAGGCACCGCAAATTACCGTCACTTGAGCCGCCCCAGTCCAGCTACAGTGTCCTTTGCTGCTCACCTGCTCTCCTGCTCACCTGCTACTTGCTGGTACTAATTGTCGTGAGAAACGTAAACTGAATCGCCAAAGATCCTGAAATTGCGCTGCAATGAACGACAACATTCGATCTGTGTGACTGATAGCTAAACGTTATGAAGATTTATACTCTACTCGTACATATTTTTCCCACTCATCATTTCCGGCTGCAGCTCAAATATGACGGACGGAAGTTGCAAAAATGTGTTTGCTTTGAAGTGAATTTAACATTTTGATTTGATTGGATGTGACGGCCGCACAGAAGACATACAGAAAAATCTCATTCATAAAATCAAAATTATTGAACTACTACGCAGGACACGTAGAGAACTGAAATTAGTGGGAATTTCGATTTTTGAATTTTGATTTTCAATTGGCTTTTCAGAGGGGTGGGGGTGGATGCACCGCCAAATATAAATATGTGTGCATCGGCATGACTCAAGCGAACGTGATTCCATTCAGTCATGCACGAGCAGGGTTGGGGAGCATGCCCGCCGCTGCCTCGCTGTCTCACAGATTCGCACTGTCCATATTCCCCATCAGATGCACTTTCAATAAATACCCGTCAATGTGGCAGACAGGCACCAGGCACACACAAGGCACTGCCTGGCGGCTATCATTAGCTGGGTCGAAGGTGGGAATGGGGGGATGGTGGCCAGGAGAGTAAAGAGTTGCCACCGTTATGTTATCAACGGCTGGCTTAATACGCACCAGCACGCCATTTCCTAATAAAACGCTCCACGCCGTAATGACATCCAAGCCATTCAATGTCTTTATTTCCCTCAGAGGTGCATCTTGGCAGCGACGTGCAGTGGGTTTCTGCGAGTATCTGGCAAATACATCTAACTTATGACGCTGTTTGCACCATAAAGAAATCGTTTTTCGCGCTGCACGCCGCTTTGCTCGGCCAAACAATAGACAGTTAAGGCTGAGGATAGCAGCGATATGTTTTCTATACAGTCGCGGCATGATTTCGCTGGATTTAATGAGCGTCGACACTGCCGCACTTGTGGGAATCTTTGGACGAGATTTGGACATACAGTTGCGGTCAAGATAATAGTAGTACTAATATGGGCTTTGTTCGTTTTTTGTTGTTGTTACCTTTACTTTTGCCTTGTCAACCATTGCTCTGCTTGCTTCAATTATGCCTTTTCTCTGCATTACATTTCGTATTTTTTCGGTACTCATCACCACTACAGAAAGTTTTGAAAATCATTATCATTTTACAGGGTAAGAGATATGTCGAGATGAGGGGCAAAATAGCATTGTTGCTTCATGGGAACATGTAATAAGAACCATGAAGTTAGCCCCGCGATCGGGCCAGTTATACGCCAAAATATCAGTAGATCGGCGACTACTACAAGCGATATGGGCCTCTTCTGTCCTTGCAGGAGCCTTAAAAAGTGTTAGCTCGGACTCTATTATTGAAACCGTCAGAAGCAGCCCTAGAAATTATAATTTACTGACACGAAGCTTTAGAAAACAATTCTTACGGTTTCAGTTTATATTGACGATTGGAAGAATGGAGGAAAAGCGTGGCTCTTCCGCTATGGCCTGGGCGAGTTTTTCCTACCAACATATTAGATCGTCAGTTTCACGTTTGGATATTGATCGATATGATGTGATGCTGCGTTATGGCTCGGTGACGTACCAGGAGGTATTATGGCCATTTTTTACTAGGGATTTATGTAAACTATTCAATTTATTTTATACGTAAAGGCCTAGAATTGTCATCCGAACCCAAGACTGCCACTTGCTCTCTCTCTCTATATATCTATATTGGTATCGCCGTTCGCAAAAGGGACTAATTGATATGTGGGTTAATGGGGAGGGGGAATTATTGGTAGGGAAGGCAACACAGACCGCGATCTCAATTTGGCATGTCAGGAACGGGAATTATATAGAGAGATAGACAAAGCTATAGACATAAAACCGCAAGCTACATCTGCTCTAATGTTAATTATTGCACTTCGTTAATCCTTTTTCCGTCTGATGACCTATCTAATTAGAGTCTTAAAATACTTTATCTCTGGCCATTTTTACGATACTGTTCTGTATTCCGCTACCAACACCAGCCTTTATATCTCGCTGCCCTCCCTAGACTCAGCCATCTGGTAGATATGGTCATTCGTTATGATTATGCGTATAGAAATACGCAAATTGTGGATGCCACAGATTTTCGCCTTTTGTGGGTGGGGTAGGCGGCGTGGCAAAACTTGTAAAAAAGCTTGATTCAGTGTGATATCTCACGAGTCAACAAACAAAAAAAAAGGCTTTTCCTCTTAGTCTCAGAGGACTATGCGTCGAACAAGAAGAGCGGAATGACCGACAGTCACTCGACTCGGCTATTGATGCCAATCCACCACAAAACTAGTCCCTTACCCCTTAACTCTTCGAGTACCGGGTATAAAAAAAACTTACCAATATACAAATATGGTTAATGTTTTTAAAGCGATCTTATTGTTATACTTCTTATACTGGCAGCCGCTATATGTTGTTTTGAAGTTCATTCATAGTGCATGGCCAATGTTAAGTTAAACACGTCCAATGTTAAATTTTATGTTAATGACTCTTACATTTTTCTCTCTCGCTCTGTGGTGTGAGCGTTTGGTTTGAGCGTGATTGTTCAAACGCAACGCAACCACTTGGTTTGAGCAATGCGGTTCGATGCGTTTTGACTTTGAGTGATTTTGCCATACAAAACGCAATCACGTCGAACTCAAACCCGAATCCAGCTCCGACTTGAGAGACTTTTTCCCACTCATTGGATGTTAATGTTAGCACTGCCGCACTGTTTGGCACAATTTTAACGGCCGCGGAAAAGGAAACAACGGAAATTGGTGTCGCCGCGGACAGTTAAAGTTAAACGTTCAGTACTTACCGTACTCTGTGATTCGGCAAAGACGTTATATTAGAGTAGTGTTCCAAATCAGACAAGTGCGGAGCACGCGAAAACTTCCGAGAATCGTTTGCTTCAGAAAGCTCGGCGAAAAGAGCGATCAGCTAGCGGAAGCAAAACACAAATCGTTGTCGAGCTTGCAGTTTTCCATTTTCAATTACCCATTTTCAATTACGTTCACTTCTGTTCTGGCCACGAAATATTTTTGTGTTGTATTCGGTTCATTCGGTTTTATAATTTTTTTGAGTTGCATTTTCCACAAGTGTTGAAGACAGGCCAACGAGCTGATAAAACAAGATGTAAAAGTAGAGCCATTAGCCACTAGCCACTAGCCAAAACCCATCGACAATTTTCGCGTGGTCGCAGCCAGTCTGTGAGCCGCCACAGAGCGGTGCTAATCATCGCTAAACAAACGCTGAAAAGGTGAGATAAGAGACAGAAGAGGTCCGCTCTCGGGGATGAAATTTTCATTATTCATTGACACCATTGCGTGGGCACAACTTTCGGAGTAGGTCGCCATTTTCATTCCCACTTATTGGTACCACTGCAGTGGCAGAAAAACTCTTCTACGATAATTGCACATCTCAGACAATAACAAAATTCTTGCATAGTTGTCAACAGAGGGAAGGGCGCGATCGACAGACTCAATAAGAGCTCGGATTTCATGTGAGCCGATATTTATTTTTATTTGCCCGACGAGACGGTCCTACAGTCTTATGCCTGTGCCTGGGCCTGGGCCTGTGCGGTTTGCTGTGTCTGCAAGCCCTGCCTCTGCCTGTCCGATTCGGAGACAGAAACGAGTACGAGTACTACGGAGTATTAGAGGGCAAAAAAATAATGGGAGGAAAAACCAATAGCATACCATTCCAGAAAAAGCAAACAGCGATTTCACGCTCTCTTCCAGCTCTGCGATCCTGCCGATTTCCTGTTTACTTTTTGTATTTTTGCGGCTACCGATCCCGCTCCCGCTTCCACTCCCGCTTCCACTCCCGCTGATGCCTGTAAATGAGTCGACTGGCCTTAGATCGTACAGTGCACGGTGCATACACGGGCTCATCAAATAAGACCCTCTCGAGTGGCGGGTGTTCGGCCAACGCTGCGTATGTGCAATGTGCAGTGCGCCCACAAACGCGTGACGCGATGCGTGAGCTCTCCAAAAACAAACATCTTCTTGGATACTTAGGCTTCAAAGTGGTCAAAGTCGCCTGTCCCTCCGTCCCGGGTATCAGCTGCTGTTCTGGTGGAATGCTGTGGCATCCGCGCCGGCAGTCCGTCAATTCAATTTTTGTTGTGGTTTGGTTTGTTTGTGCGCCTATCCTATGTATATTTATTGAAAATTTACTGCTTGCATAACAAACGACCAGCTCCTGCTTTTGTTACTGCTGCTGCTGCCGCTATGGCTGTTGCTGTTGCTGCTGCTGCTGCTGCTGCTGTTGTTGTTGCTGCTGCTGTGGCTGCCGCTGTCATATGCAAATGGTGGAATGAGGGGCAGGCGCTGAAAGGGCGCGAGGGTGGGGGCGCTGTCCAGAAGTCATTAATCTCGCGCCAAAACTGCTGACTTTGTCGAAATGAATTTCCTGTTTTTGCTGGCTCCGCGTCCGCCCCGGCAGATGACAAACAGTTTCCTTAGAAGCTCCACTCCAGAGAGTCTGGAACGGTATCGGTTTGGCGGGCTGTTTGTTATTTATGAAACCAAATATGTTGACCCTTTTCTGATTTGAGCCCACACGTCAGTGTGGCAGGGCAGGGCAAACGCACATAGAAGAGCACACACTCGTAAACATAAGACATTCGGTGTTCCGCGGAACGGACAGTGCTTTAAATAGCTGGATCAGTCCTGAGTCCCCCCCGCCCCTATTGCGCAATCGCCTAGCCTGGGAAAAGCGTGAATGGAATGGGGGCACAGGAATAGGGCTCAAAGTCACTCGCTGAAGGCTTCACGGGGGACGGGGTGCTGCAGCTGTCGACCAACTTAATCCCAACTTATCCCATCCTCAACAGCTTTGGAGCTGGGTTCAACTTCCTCGCTGTGCTTTTTGAGCAGCGCAACATTGTTTCCCAAATGTACTGAGCTCTATCTGGGAGATCAGTTTTCTGGCTACACGCATAGCACGTGCTTCAGTGCATGCTCCGACTACGACTCCGCCTTAGACTCCGACTCCGACTCCTTGCGACTTATAACATGATACGCACTGAGGAGTGGTGGACCGGGATGGGAGTTGACATGCGAGCGGGCTAATCTAATACGAGTATGCAAAATACAAAATGCAAATGTAACTAAAGGCGGTTTCCTACGTTTCCTATACTGGAATACCTTTCAAGGGAGGCTCTGGAACCGCAGTGAAACTCAGCACCACGCTTGATGCTTTTTTTGGCCAGCTACGGTCTTAAGGTTGAAATTATGCACTTGTTGCTCAAGTGCATCAGCAGACTCTGATCGGCGCAGCAAAAGATGCAATTCAATACAAACAAAAATGAGCAAAAAAAAGGTCCAGAATAAATGCCCAAAAACATAAAAACAGGTCTTTTGAAGCGGCGGCCAACGGTCAAACTGCATCTCGAGAAGGCATTCGCTGTATCCAGACAGACCCAAACCCCAAACTCTCCAAAACTGTATGTGCGGTGTGTGTGTGTGTGTCTGTGTGTGTCTGTGTGTGTCTGTGTGTGTGTGTGTGTTTATCAGTGGGATTGCGGTTGTGTATGCGTGATATTGTGTTTGGCAATGCAGTTGCTGCTGGCGAGAATGCATTTTATGCCCTGCTCTTGCTGCTTTCTGCTTTCTGTTGCTGCGGCGCTCCTTGCATTTTTGGTTGCTGTGCCTCTGGCGTGGCCGCTCCGTTCCTCACTGTTGGCTCCACGGGCCCCGAAAGAAGTGCCTGCAAGCTTTGAGGAATTCGCGATATCTCCGAGTACAGTAAAGGCCCAAAATTTCGACTCGCACGCAAACAAAAGCTCTGCTGACACAAGCCGATCATTCGAAGGACCATGAAGAGACCCCAAGTCCCATATCCCAGATCATGTCAGATCTATCTAAACGTTAGACACACTCGTTAGGACAGACTCCCTCTCTCTGCACGTGTCGGTGCATCAGTACATCGGTGCATCGGTACGAGTAGTAAAAAAGTTATTTGCGATAGCTTCCGCAGCGGTTATACTAGTGCAAACCCATTGACTGCACCAGGTCTAAAAATAGCCACCGGGCAGGCGTCTTTCCGCTCCAACGCAGGAATGCAGCTTGAGCTCCAGCCCCAGCTCCAGCTCCAGTGCAACTGTGTGGATGTTCCTGCCTCAGGGTGCGTGTACGTGTGCGTGTGCGACGGCTGTGGGCACAGACGGAGAGACGAAACTGCAGTTGGAGCGTCCTACAAAATGTCACAGCGCATGCTAACGCCATAATTTTCGGTCCAAACGACGGACACTGGCTTGGACAGGAACCATGACGCAGTGGGTCATTAAGTGTTCACCTGAAAAGGGCAGGCAGCACGCCTGCCTGCATGCTGGTGGTGCCTGCTGCAGCTGCATGCAACGGCAACATCCGCAGCAGGAGCCGTTCGAGCTGCTGAACTTTCGAAAGTGGCGGCCCGCACTCGGGGGGAACCGCTTCCAGTGGGCTAATCTATTAGGGCTCCGCCGCTGCCTCCGTGAGGACGAGGAGGCGGTTGTTGTCATCGCCTCAAGGACGTTCGCGAGTCGGCCAAATTAGGATACTTGAGAAAAACCACACTACAGTCACGTTTCATTGGCCTCTCTGGGCAGAAATTGTTGCATGTCTGCTCCGGCCTACCCCATCCCTGCATATGTTGTCTCGAGCACGTCCTTAGTGCCATGACGATTGCAATGGCAACCGCGATGGCAGCCAAAGTAAAGCAAATGCCAAACTAGCGACCCAAGCAAACAACCAAACAAACAAACAGGCAGACAGACAGACAGACACAGAGGTGGGGGCAGAGACGGACTTTCAGAGCCAGACGGAGGTGGACGCGGCTGCATAATGTGCGGCAAGGCAACAACGCCACGACTACTACAAGCGGCGACAGCAACAGGTTCTTTATTTTTAGTAGTCGCATTTTGAAAACCGCCTGCTCAATGTCAACTTAACGTTTGAGACTTAATTGTTGGCTCTCTGCCGTTTTGTCGTTCTTGTACAAAAGATTGTGTGCCCGAAGCGAGTTCTTCGGCCAAGTGGCTGCACTCGCACTCCCTCCCTGCATTGCGAGAGCGATGCCCAAGAACTTTGTGCATTTTATAATGGAACCTGGAACTTGCAACTGAACTCATGCCTCATCTCATCCTCTTTTTTGCGCGTGCGTCTTTTATCCTCAGCTTTGGCCGTTCTCCATCGCCTGGTCATGCCTCATCACCATCAAACGAACAGCCACAACCATTTGACATTTTTAAAATCAAATTACAAATTCAAACGCAGAGAAATGCCGACGATCCGCGCACTTCCTGTGGCATCAGCGGAAGCGCGTACACCACCGAACCAATTAGCGGCAACAATGTCAAAGACGTCAGCAGCATCAGAATCGGCCGCAACGGCAGTGGCATCGACATCGACGACAACTACTAGCCACAAAAGTAGATCAATTCTAAGTTTATTTATAGTAATCGCATGGAACTCTCTGCAAGAATTGGCCAGTGACGGGAAAGACGATGGCTGTGTCAGGGCTGCTGGCGACCATGGCCGTGACGTCAATGCGGACCGAGTGAGACATAGACGCACGCCCGGTACTCGCGATCCAAGTGACGAGGTGTCAATGGCACGTGAACACCATAAGCAGCAAGGCAAACAGAAGCCCCTATCTGGTTCTAGTCCACATCGGAGGAGGAGCCGCCTGCGAGCCACTTCTCAAGCGGTGTCGATGGCTCTGTTTGCTTTAGGATTGCTGCTACTGAATATGCGGCCGGCGGCGGGTAAGTGTCCAGATACTTTTTCTGACTCACACTTGCTTGAGGAGAGAATGACCCAAAATCATATATTTCGATATTTCCCTGAATCCGTTCATGGCATCCCATCTGTGTCTCCAAATGTATCTCCTCTCCTCTCACTTCGTGCCTGCAGCTGTGCGTCGGTCGCTCGCCCTTGCCCCGGCGGATCGAACGACAAATGTGACACATTTTAGTCAAATATGACGCAATTTCTCACGGCAGAGCTGTTGTTTGTTTACGGCAACGGTCGGCGGTATCGCATTCACTGCTTGGCATGCCGGGTCGATCAAAACAAAACAAACATATCAACAGATCAGAAAGACCGGCCCGCGAATTCTCCCTCCAGCATGCTGCGATATTTGGGATCGTTGGAACGACTTCTGCCTCAAGATAGTTAGCGGCAGGAACTCTCCCCACGGATTCCATTTAGTAAACACGCCAATATTTACGGTGGCTATTTCCAGGCCTTCTAAATCTGGAGGGGAGGATTCAATGGAATCTCCCAGCGCATGTCGTATCGCTAAGGTCGACTGTTTCATTCTAATTCTAATAAAATTCTGCCCAAATCTTGCTCTCCTCCCTCCGCAGCCGGCACCTGCTGGCAGACCCACCTGGGCAGCGGCAAGTGCAGCCAGATATTCTCCACGAACATCACCAAGTCGGAATGCTGTGGCGCCAGCCAGACCTTCTCCTACACCGATCGCGAGCTGAGCAGCGTGGAGTACTTCTTTGCGACGGCCATCGGAGGCGGCGTCGAGTGCGCTCCGTGCATTGGTAAGTGCGTAACGAGGTACCACCAATAAGGGTGCGCCCTTACATATGTACATATGTATACCAGTAAGATATTTGGGAAGAGATGGGGCTATAGACTGATCAGTAGCAGCGAGCTTCGTGGGACGAGAAGTAAGGATTAGGCAAATCATACAGCGATTAAATCAGCTATGATAATTGTCTGGTGGGGGTCGCTAGCAAAGAGTATTCAAACGAAAGAAACGATTATCTAATATACCAAATAAGGTACATATGTCGGTACCCGAAGGACAGGGTCTTTTCGTGTCCGACCCTTCTGGATAAATCCGGCACTAAAACTCTTAGGTCCGCCTTCCTGAACGACATCTCGGAGATGTCCACGCTGTGTCCCAGAAAGATTGCAAACTTTATAAGAGCATCTGGATGGGACAACTGTTGACATGAAATCTCACTGCAGGGAGGGAAGGATCCCAAGCGGTATCACAACGGGCGGAAACCGGCCTAAGTGTGTCGGGCTCCGAGCGAGCCTGGCAGCCGCCTCTACCTAACCTAACTCTGAGTTCTGCTGGCATCCATTCCATACTTGCAAGTCTCCCTAAAAGTGTTTACGAATAGACTATACTATATACTATAGTCCCAAATCGAGAAAAAACACCTGAAACGCGACGCACAGTGGGACATTCGGCCATTTCAGCTCGATAAATTATTAGCTTCTGAACGAAATAAGATATTTTCATGAAGAAGGAAGACTTAAGTTACATTGTCATACCGCTTGGGTATGCGCCTTTCCTGCGCCGTGAGACGTAATGTCAGTTATTATCCCATCCATCTTCCTCTGAAATGTCGGTTAGGAAGGGTGCGCCCGAAGATACATTCGAGAATATTAACGCACAATCATAGAGAATGACCATATCTACCACATTGCCGAATCTGGATCAGATCGAATCATTATTATAACCAAAAGAAACAAATCAATCGACGTCCCACAGTTAATAATTGTTTCAATGCAAAGCCGCAAAAAAGTAATCTGTGTGTTTTGTTATATTTTGTTCTTGCCATTTTTTAGAGAACTGTAAGGGTTTCAAATGTGGGCCAAACAAAAAGTGCGTCAAGCGCAAGGGAAGGCCCAAGTGCGTCTGTGCCCCCGAGTGCGGGGCAGCGCTGCGTCGAAGACAACACCAGAAGCTATGGAAGATGTCGCCGACAGTGGCAGTGACAGTACCACCACCGCGCGGCTCACGTAGTCTAAGTGGCGAAATTTTCAACAACAACCCCATCGCTGACAACCAAAGAAAGCATCAACAGCGCCAGCGCCAGCACGAACACGAACAAGAACAAACCCAAGAAATGCAACAGATGCTACGGCGCCAGAGTCACAAAAAGGCGCAGGGCGAGACGAAGTACAGAAGACTTTTGATTATAGACAGCAGCAGCAGCAACAGCAACAGCAATTCGCAAGAGCTGCCCACGGCCAGGCGGAGCGGCGGCAGAGTGGAAATGACGGGCTATGAGAGGCGCAGACACAGAAATAACCAAGGCAAACACTTTACAAGATCAATGACGACAGGAGCCAATGACTCGTCCAAAGCAGACAAGACGCCTGCACAAGCGGCGCTCTCTGTCTCTGTCTCAGTCTCGACTCCAGCTCCAGCTCCGGCTTCGGCTTCGGCTCAGTCTAGACACAAGTTTGCAAATGCTAATGAACCCGCCAACGACAGTAATAGACAGTACCAGAAGCTAGACAATGCCCCGTTCAGACACCAGAAAGCCACTACCAGAACCAGACGCATTGAGCATGCCCCAAATCATGACAATGGGCAGCGGGAGCCGCGCAGGCACAGGCGGCCCAAACACAGGCCCGGCAAGGATCATGAACAGCACGAACAGCGCTTTGGAACGGCAGTTAACCCGGCAGAAGTGGCTGAGACAGAAGCAGAAGCTGATACGAGCACCGCAGCAGCATCTACGCTGGCAGCGAATACCACAATGTCTGGGGCACATGCGCAGCGTCGTCTGTACCTGGATGAACACGGAAGTGAAATGACTGCGTCATCGGCAGCGGCTGCGGCAGCGACTGCGGTTGCGGACGGCCATAGCATCAGCATCAGCCATGGCCACTTGGCTAATGCCGGTGACTTGGCTTTTCTGGGTGGAATTTATGAGCCTGTGCTGATGGTAAGTCCTCATCCCATCCCATCCCAGTCCCAGTCCCAGTCCCCGCCATTCTATCCATTCCATTCGCACTTAGCGTTGCATACTCCTTGGGGCAGTTTTTTGGGCGTTTTGTTAACTTGGTTACTTTCAGCAGCAGCACCAGCAGCAGCACAAGAATCCGGTTTGCGGCACCGACGGACGCACCTACAACACCGAATGCCAGCTGCGCAAGCGCGCCTGCCGCACAAGCAACGCCCAACTGGAGGTCGCCTATCGGGGGCACTGCAAGAGTAAGTCTACCCATATCCACACACACGCAGAGAAAAATTCATATACTGTCCGGGCTGGGGAACGGGAACGGGCTGCTCGCGTGCCACAATTAGATTAGATGACAAATTATTGCACATTTCAATTACGGCCAACAACTTGTCGCCAGTGGTGAAATCAACCAGTCAGAGCCAGAGCCAGAGCCAGAGCCGGAGCCAGACGTTGAAGTTGAAGTTGGAGTTAGGGTAGCACCAATTGCATCGCCTATCCGATCCGATCCCGGACCCGATCCCGATCTCGATCCCGATCCCGGTCCCGGTCCCAATCCCCTCCAGAGCTTCGATCGAAATGTTGTGTAATAATTTAATGATACAGGAAGCACTCTCAAACATGCTCAAATTATCAATAAAACAGCGCGGCGCACAAGAACGATGAGCCAAGAGTCCAAAGAACTTGTTGGATTAGCCGTGAGCACACGACATGGCTGCTACTGCCACTGCCACTGCCACTGCCACTGATGCTTCTGTGGCCGTTTCGTGGCAATTTCTGTTGCAAGACATAAACGGCAATACTCGAATCAACAACAACACCAACAATGACAGCTATCTAACGTTGGCGCGTGCCGATATCCAATGGAATGCGCAATCGGCAACGCAACCGTTTGCCTATGCATGGAGCTGCTTGCCGCGGAAGATAGAAGGGGATGGATGGGACAGGATCCACATCTACGGCATCCACTCGCACTCGCATTCGCATTCAATAGCACTCGTAATTTTGAGCAGAAAAATGAATGCAATTTCTTGCAAGTGTCACAGTTGGCGCCAACGCGTTGGGGCCTCGCATCAGCGGGCCCCATTGGCGTGGCATGTACCATGATAAATTTCGACAGTTTATTGCTCGCCATATAAGCGAATATATCCACACTCACACACACACAAACACACACTTTTGTACACTGCGACGATCTGGCTAATCATAGAAATTGGCCAATAGTTTATTAATAGTCCCAATCAGCGCCTAAGCAACGAAGACAAAGTTGCCAGATTCGGCATGAGTTTACTCAGGAGACTAGTTCAGATGTGTTGACTGGTGGGGCTTCGACAGCGCGAATGGGGAAGAGCTACGTGGACAACGCCAGTTCTTTGTATTCTGAATACAAAATTTTATTTGCAAAATGAATATATTTTGTTTGAACTTTAAACTTACAAATTATTAGGACTATGTGTACATGTGTGCGTGTATTGTATTGATGTACGCTCTCATTTCCACAGGTAGCTGTAGAGGCGTCCAGTGCTTGAATGGCCTAACCTGCGTAGAGGATCAGTACCTGACCCCGCACTGCATTCCCTGCAAAATCGAGTGTCCCCGGGAAGAGGAGGAGGAGCAGCAGCAGGCAGTGTGCGGTGTCGACGGCAAGACATACAGGAGCCTTTGTGATATAAATCGAATGATTTGCAAAACTGGACGTTCCATCGCCGTGGCATATTCGGGACCCTGTCGTGGTATGTATGAGTATTTTGTCCAGTTTCTGGAGTCGGCTCTCCGACTGCCCGCGTGCCCGGCTGCCCGGCTGCCCGGCAGTCGGAGTTTGGCTGGAAAAGTCAATCAAATTAATTGGTATGGAGAGCCCTGCTGCTGTCGGCAAACTGTAGCCTGCAATTGCAATTGCAATTGCAATGGCAATTGCAGTGCATTGTTGCTGTTTTAGCTCTGAGGTTTTAGCTGGCTTGATGGTTGTTCCAGAGGGGCTGTGCAAATTTAACAACAATCAGCAAAGAACCGCAATTTTGCATTTGATTGACTTGGCTGACTGAGGCTTAGTACTCGCATAGGCGATTCGAGTCGAGTCGAGTCAAGTCAAGTCGATTGGTTACCTTGCTGCTCTGGCTCTGACTGTGGCTCTGGCTGTGGCGATGGTCTGCAGCCAGGCCATATCGGGTTGCCGCTGCTCGGCGATTGGCTGAAATTGCTGCATTTGCTTATACGGCTCCATGATTGCCAGCAATTCGATTAGGCCGCACTGTCGCACAGTCTGTCGGCTGCTCCACTTTGCTGGCGCGCATCCACAATTACAGCTTGCCCCGCTACCGCGTCGTCGGTGCTCGTATCATTCATGCTTATTAGTTTTGTGGTCGCACTCCGATTGATCGACTCCAATATCCAATTAATTACAATGCAGGCCGCAGTGGGAGCTGGACTGCCGGCTGCTGGCTGCTGGCTGCAATGGCCTGGTAATTGCTGTGTTTTGTTGCAAATTAATGCCGAAACAAACACTGCCAGCCCCGCGCCGACAGCAACAGCTGACGCAATTCCCTCTACCAGCCGCACCCCTCTGTTATTACTTATCAATGACCAATCATTCTGCACCCAGTACGATTATGATGTCGGTCCGCATTCTCCGAAGTTACCAGCACTACCATTACTCTCCTGAGAGTCGGCTGAGACCATTGCCGGTAGAGCTTGCCGGCTCCTGTACCCTTCCAGCACGATCTTATGCCCACTCTGAACGGTAGCCGGACATTACAATAAGTTAAGATCATTAACTACTATTCACTTTTGCTTTTAGCCCTTTCCTTTCCTTCCCTTTCCTTCCCTTCCCTTCTCTTGCGTCCCCTTCCATTTCATTCCCTTCCTGCGAATGCGTGCGTGCATGCAGTTTCTTGATCTCGGCCAGACTGCTTTCTTCCTCTGGCACTTCCACTCACACCTAGTCGTTCCCTTGCCATTGCAATTGCCATTGCCCCTTCCAACTGTTGGATTGTACGAATATGCGTCTGTTCCTCATTATGTTCTGTGGATCGCCCGTCGATAAGATAGTGCACCTGTGTGCGTTGGTCCCTGAGCTTTTTATCTTCATGGATAGTCAGTTTATGGCTCTCGTGTGTTTGCTTGTCTGCTTTCACATACTCGTAAATACTTGCAGCGATCCAGCGATCCAGCGAACCAGCAATCCAGGCTCGGGTCCAAGCAAAATAAAACAGGCACAGGAACAGAACAGGCACTAGCACAAGCAGGGACTCAGACTCAGAATCAGACTCAGGCCACTAAGAGTTCCCGCTGCCCCCAAGAAATATGACTACACGTTCAAACCATTAAAACGCCATTTTCGCAACGACTTTGGTGACGCAGGTTCTGTGATTGCAACTGCCAGACTCGGCCGCAGCCACATCCCCATTCCATCCCCATCTCCATCCCCATGCACATACACAGCCGTCTAGCTGTCCACGTCGTCGCGACGTCACTTATGTCTGGCTCAGCGTCTGGGCTCTTGCTCTTACTCTTGCTGTTGCTCTTCCCCTGCGCTGGCTGTAGTTTACGATCGTATTAAAATCACCTTAAACAACACGCAATGCCCGAATAGCCAGACAGCCAGAATGGTAACACAGACGCACACACACATTCACGCACACATGACATAGACACACAGACACATGACCCACGCCAAATTCCTGACCATGCCACACAATGTTGCATTAAGTTCCGCCAACGGACGTTGGGCAATAACCGACGGAGGGGAGATCCGGGACAGCCGCTGGCGTTGATTAAACCACGTCGACATTGCAAATTATAGTTGCCCTGCATTGTGACGGCATTATCAGCCATACCTGCAGCCACATCTGTAGATGTGCGATGTGTAGATATGCTGATGCAGGCGGTACGCGAGGCAGCGAGGCCGTGGTCGTGGCCGTGCTCCCGACATATCCATCACAATCAACCAGTGTGGCCAGGGGGAGCCACGCAGGGAGGAGCGCAGTCGTTGCAAAGGACCTAAAGGCCTAAAGCTAAATTGGCAGTTGAAATTAATAAACTTTAACTGTTACGAATTGGTAGACGGGCGACTTTCATGCACCGTCGCCGTTTTGTCCGCCCAGAGATGCAGAACCAGACGTATGTATACTCTGCCCCGCCCCGCCAGCATGCAGCCCATCCCCCGTCCAGTCCATGCCCTGCTCCACCCGGTAAGCAATTGCCTTCTACAATGCTTCGGGGGCATGCAACATTGTTGCCAAGTCGGAGATCATGTTGACGATAAATACATATATTGCCTGGCGTTTGCGGCTGCGTGCCGCTTGGCTGACTCCCTTGCCTCTTGGCCGTCCGACTGTGCTGGATCTCCAGCTCGGTTCGGCTTGCTGCTACCCGTCTTGAGCATGCGCTCCAGTCGTCGCGTGCGGGGTAGGGCTGCCCTGTCCGTACCATTGCCTGCGGTGTGAATAATATGTCAGCGTAGAAAATGGTAGTTCTGGGACCCAACGACAGCCGAAGCCACAGCACCACAGTTAAGCGGAAGGAAAGATAGGATAGTATTGGCATAAGTCAATGCTGCAGTAGATTTCTAAATCATTATGGTGGATATTGGATCCGAAGTAGTAGTTATAACACGAGATTATATATATGCGGAGATTGGACTGAATTTAAGATATCGACAGCTAAAAAAAAAAACGAGGGGGAACGTTGTGAGTTGCTGCGGACTCCGCAACTCTACAGTTATACCCGATACTAAGTCAGTATGGCTCTCCTCCGGCAGACGCCGCTAATATTAAACGACACGACAAAGAGTGCGTGCGAGAGAGACAGAAAATCAGTCTGAGCGTGACGCCGGGCGCTGCGTAGCCACTGCAAATTGATTTCTTGCTTTTGGCTACAAAAATTATCCGATCTGATCCAGATTCGGCAATCTGATAGATTCTGCGTTTTCAGTTTTCTTGAATGTGCAATATTGTGGATGCAACAGATTTTCGTTCTTTGTGGGGGCGGAAGGGAGTGGGGCGAAATTCTGAGATATACGTTTTAGTTTACGTTTATAGTGAGATCTAACAGAAGTGCGGATACCAAATATGGTTACTCTAGCCTTAATAGTCTCTGAGATTTGTGGATGCCCCAGAATTTCGTCCTTTGTGTGGGCGGAAGGGGGTGTGGCGAAATTTGGACACGAAACGGTCAAGGTCCGATATCACAGGAGTGTGGATACCAAATTTGGTTGCTCTGGCTCTTATAGGTTCTGAGATCCTTGAACTCATATTTTGCAATTGGCAAAACCGACCATGAAACCTGTGTGTTAGAGAGAGACAGAGCGAGAAAGAATGAAATTGTTTTCTTGATTCTGGCTATAATAATTATACGATCTGGTTCAGATTTTGCACTCTAGAAATGTAGTCATCTTCTACTATTCTGCGTCTTTAGTTTTCTCGTATCATCGAAATTGTGGATGCCACAGATTTTCGCCCTTTGTGGGGGCGGAAGTGGGCGGGGCAAAGTTTTGAAATATTTTTGTAGCAGTGACATTTCACAGAAGTCTGGATCCAAAACATAGTTGCTCTAGCTCTGAAGGGGACGGACAGACGGACAGACAGACATGGCTCAATCGACTCGGCTATTGATGCTGAAACGATTCCTTCTGGACGTTACACACATCCACTTTTACCACAAATCTAATATACCCCAATACTCATTTTGAGTATCGGGTATAAAAACAGCGCTTGAATCTTGTGGAGATTGCGATTAAATGATGATGACTTTTGCTTCCTGGTGCTAGAACGTTTTTTTTTGCATATTTCACGGAGGCTCTGGTTCGTAACGTCTCAAGTGCCGTGATTGGCAGCACCTGATGTTGTTCTGTTCTCATGGGTAGCCGGATATGGGCCGGGGCCCTTCACATTGGCCATAAACTGAAATTGCAAACATAAAACCAAACAGAAACTTAACCACGGCCAACTGAATACGTGAAATCGTGAAATTTATTTTGCAGCGGACCGCGTGAGCTGCGCTGACATCATATGTGGCCCGAAGGATACTTGCTTGGTGGATCTGGAGACGCGTCTGCCGCGCTGCGTGTCCTGTCGGTACAATTGCCCGAAGCAGCGACTGGTGAGCCTCCGCTGGAGTGGAACGATGTGACACATTTTACTTAACGCCCTTTCCCACTTTCAGGTGCACAAAATATGCGGATTCAACAACCACACATACAGTTCATGGTGCGAGGTATATCAGCACTCCTGCAGCACCGGGTTCTTCATAGGTGTCAAGGCCGCGGGGAGCTGTTAGAGAGAAGCTGCTGCGAAGCATCTACGTATTAATATCATTAGCAAATGACATAGAAGGCGTTATGGGGGGAGGTAGCTGTCGCGCATTTCTGCGCTGTGTACTCCCACAGTTCCAGCATCCAAAGATTCTCGTTGAGCGTTTCGTGTTGTAAGCGGTGGATGGCCTAAGGTGGTTGGCAAACCGTCCAAACTGTCCACTAAATAATATCGAACACACTTTCATATGGCAAAGTATTATCAACCATACGACATTACGTATTGCAAGCTCTCTTATCCGACATATGTATGTATATTGCAAGAGAAACCACATATCTTAAGAGGCTTTTGTATTTAACATTAACATAGGCTACTTCATAATTAATTTAAACGATTGATTTTCGTGCGCAATTCACTCGCATTTAGTTTAGCCACACGAGTAGCCGACCGACGTCATATTTATTTAACATTACCATTTTCTACTTTTTTTTTAAATCGAAGCTAATTTAATTAATTGACTGATAGCTTAACCGTATAGAAAGATTTTTAATTAATACTATACACATACATATATACATACATAAATGCAAATCAATAAGTATATGCACACATAATCCACACATACCTATGCATATGTTTGAGCAATTGTTAATTAAATGTGTTTCCATCTTAAAAGTAAAGGCCTTTCAATCGCTCTCGCCGGACAGTTCGAATATGTCGTTGGCTCGCTGATAGCGAGCCTGGGTAATCTTTAAATTGGCCATCTTCCGTTTGTCCACGGGCCTGGAAGCGCTGATAGTTTCACCCCTCCCTAAGCCGCTGGTTCCCTCGTTGGCCACCACATTAATCTATCGAAGCAAATCATAAAATATTAGGTAACTTAGTTATATGACCATTATGTGGGCTGTAACATCATGTTTACCGGTGTCAGTAAGCCTGCACTGGCGTTGGTCTTTCCCAGGGTATTGCCCTTCTGCCACCCAAGCTTGCTCAACATCTTGAACCCTTTGTTTGAGCTGGCAATCTCCCTGCGAATGTAGGTTTTACGAAGCGTTAACGGTAACTACTGAGCAAGAAACTTTCGAGCTTTCGGGCACTTACGTATGCACACACGCCACCTCTGTCTTCTCCTTGTCCGTACTGCTTCCCACGTTGACGCGCCGCGTTGCCGCACGATCATTGTAGTTTGGTTTCTGCTGTCCATTGCCACTAGCTTCAACAAATTCTATAAACCGATAAGAGGATAAAGGAAATGCGTTCCTGGTAAGAAAACACACGTCGAAGCTAGTTACGTTGCGACGGCTACTACTCACTCTCATTTTCCAGACCGTACTTCTTTTGCAGCTTCTTCAGCTGCTCCTTGTGAGACAATACCGTCGCAGTTGATGACAACGCTGTTGCTGACACTGGCGCTTGCGTCTCTATCAACAGACCCGGCTCGCATAGTCCGCACGTGCTGTTACCCTCGTGCACATGACACAAGAGCTTAGTCTGTCCAATGGTGACAACACTCCCGTGTACCAGATCCATCGGATCGCTCGCCATGCGCATGCCATTGAGTACGGTGCCATTCCGGGAGCCAAGGTCACGACATCTATAAATTCCCGACTTGGCCTCGTAGTAGAATTCCAAATGACTCTTGCTCACGTTCACATCTGGTATGATGACATCATGCTCGCCCTCGCGACCTAGCGATCCACCCTTATATGTGATCAAATGAAGGCTTCCGACCAGTAACTCCTCCACGTTTGTCTCCTGAACAATGATGCGCAGCGAGGGCGGATACTTCTTGGCGATGTCTATACATGTTGGGAGAACAGAGGGAGAGGTGTATTGTATTAAAAGTCTGTAGAACGACCATTACAGAAGGCGAGATAAAAATGCGGATCGGATCTCTTAAACACCTTGAAAGCGTCCAGCAGCCTTGAAGACGGGAACACTGCCGTCGTCTTCACTGGCGCTACTGCTGCTATCGTTGTCGCTGGAGTTGGAGCTGGAACTGGAGTCGCTTGACTCGGACAGCTCGCCGTCTTCGGCGTCGCCGTTATCATCGGCATTGCGACGTTTCCTTTTCGGTTTGCGGCAACGCTCCTTCTTGTTCTTCTTCTTACTGTGCTTCTTGTTCTTCTTCTTCTTCGCCCTGCGCTTGGACTTTTCGGCTCGTTCTTTAAGCTTCTGCTTTTCGGTTTTAATCTTTTGCAGCGTTGCTGTGTCCGTTATGACGCCTCCGAGTTCGTCGAACTCCACCTCATCATCCTCATCGTCCTCGTGCCTCGCCGGCTCCGATCCGGGCTTAGCTGCGTCGTTCGCCTGCAACCAGTGAAGAAAAGAAATCCGCGTTTTTATCGAAAGTTCTGGGTCTTAGTTCTTACCTAATGCATTGCTACGCATTCGGTCTATGCTCAGTTTGTGAAAACCCTTTAAAAGTCTACTATATGCGCAGGGGTTCAAGTGCTGGGCACCGAGGAGAAGAAGAACATCGGTTAATTATGTGGGCGCCAGTGGGATGTCCACACCCGCTCACCTGCACCTGAGCCTGCGAATGAAACTCGTACGAGTCTTTGCCGTGATCGTAGCTGTAGTAGCAGCCTGTGTTGCCATCGTAGTACAGATCGTACTCCTGGGAGAAAGAGAAACAAAGAGCGGGTTAAAAAAAATTCGTGCCCACGATCTACTTAGGTCCATCAGAGCGATAACCTCTGAATGTCACAGCACAACTTGCTGCACACAACAGAACGCAGCGGAACGGGACGTCATAAAGATTACATTCGTTGTTTATTGCATATTTACCGCGTTGTAGTAGTAGCCTGTCTTCGGATCGTAGTACATTCCCGACGTCGGCTCATACACGAAGTTGTTTAGGTTCTCCGCATGCTTGGCCGCCTGGCGCATCTCGTCCACAAAGCTGAAGGCGTCTGTTGCCGAAACTGAAAATGACACAACAACCGCTATAACGCCATGTCACAACACATTGCAAGGGACACTGCGCCTTAGCTAACTTATCGCCCATAGCCACTAGGCCATAAATCGTATACACCCCCACATCCGTCCACTTGCGCAACTTTCAAGCAGCTTTGCAATAAACGGAAAAATGGGATCTCAGGGTAGCAGCGCTAATCTCAGGCACTAACAAGCCTGATCCGGCCTGATTATGATCAGGCCTGGGGCCCCGTTGATAGCGGCAGTGGGTGGATGGATCGTGAAAATTGTACCTACTCCTTGGAAAAGCATACTGGGATAGCCCTAACCTCGTGCAGGCAGGTGGAGGAGCATGAAGTGTCAAAAAGAGTGTTGATAAGGTCAGCCAATGACCAGTCACATGTGTAAATCATTTGGTTTTTTACAGAAATTTAAGAGAAGGTGAAGTCTATCTTGTTTCCTATTATGCAGAATAATAATATGCGTCATAAAGTCTGTTGCAACGTAGGTCGGCAAATCGGGAGCTATTGCCAGCAATTGATAGACAGTATTCCAGTCCGAGCGATTAGCATACATCGCGCAGTTGTAGATTCAGATTCAGATTCAAATTCGGATTCAGCTGATCTTGCTACCTAAGTGTTTTTGTTTTTAATTTGCTACTAAACGCCTGCTGCAGATTGTGCAGTTATGTCTACGTCTGACGGAATTGCATTGCGAAAAGTGAGCAACTCTTATCGGGGAATAGTGCGAATCGAGGTGTGCTGTCAAGGCGCCTGGTGGGTTAGTCGTTACTCATCGTTCGAGACAAGCGGTTGGACCCAGAGCCCAGATTAGCCGAATCAAAATGATGGATGTGGAGGTGCGAGAACTTATGCAAGCCTTTGTGCTGAGTGACTACCAGGTTCAAGAGGTGTACAGTCGATTCTGTGCGGAAATATCAAAGGGCTTGAAGCGGTCCACACATGCACTAGCCAACACCAAGTGTTTTCCGACTTATGTGCAAGACTTGCCGACGGGCGACGAGATGGGGAAGTATCTCGCGCTGGACTTGGGTGGAACAAACTTCCGGGTGCTGCTTGTTTCCCTCAAAGGTCACCACGACGCCATGGTGGAGTCCCAGATATATGCAGTTCCGAAGGATTTGATGGTTGGCCCTGGCGTCGAGTTATTCGATCACATCGCTGACTGTCTCGCCAGATTTGTGGAAAAGCATGAAATGCGAAATTCCCATCTCCCACTAGGTTTCACCTTTTCGTTTCCCTGCGAACAGAAAGGTCTCAAGGAGGCCATTTTGACGCGCTGGACAAAGGGCTTTGGCTGTCCGGGTGTGGAAGGCGAAGACGTTGGTCGTTTGCTGCATGAGGCCATCCAGCGACGGGGCGATGCGGAAATTGCCGTCGTGGCCATACTCAACGATACCACAGGCACTCTCATGTCCTGCGCACACCGAAATGCTGACTGTCGTATAGGCGTTATCGTGGGAACTGGCTGCAACGCCTGCTACGTCGAAGACGTAGCGAACGTGGATCTTCTGCACGCGGACTTCAAACGAAACCAGAAAGACGTCCTGGTCAATGCAGAGTGGGGAGCCTTTGGTGAGAGCGGCCAACTGGATTTTGTGCGCACCGAATATGACCGCGAGGTGGACGATACGTCAATCAACAAGTCGGAGCAATTATTTGAAAAAATGACTTCCGGCATGTATCTGGGAAGATTAGTTCGTTTAATACTGATGCGCGCCATGCAGAGCAAAGTCATATTCAAGTTAAGCAATCGACGGGAACATTTTGCCACCGCGTTGCAAAAAAATGAAGACGTCTTTGAAACACGATTCATATCCGAGATTGAGTCGGATTCTTTTCCAGAATTTTCGAAAACAAGAACTATTATCACGGAGCTTTTTGGGCTGGAGAAGGCCTCAGTCGAAGACTGCCAGAAAATCAAGTACATCTGCGAGTGTGTGTCCAAGCGGGCGGCCACCTTGGTGGCCATTGGCGTCAGTGGCCTGATCAACAGAATTTCAGACCGCAGAGTTGTTGTTGGCATGGACGGCTCCGTGTACAGGTACCATCCTAAATTTGACGCCTACATGCGCAATACAATGCACAAGCTGGTGAAGTCGGACAAGGAGTTTGATATTATGCTATCGGAGGATGGTTCGGGGCGTGGTGCGGCTCTTGTCGCCGCTGTCGCCAGTAAAACGAAGTGATAGAATAAAAAATTGGCTCATTCCTGGAACTTACATTCTGCGGCAGTCTCCTTTTTTTCACTTTTGCCAGGAACTTCTTCCTCGTCTGAATCGATGCTAGACTGTAGGGCTGTATGAGATAGTTTCTTCTCCTGGCTCAGCTGTGTCTGAAAATCATAATTATTAATACATACTATATGCACTATGAAATGTACTTTTTACTTGTTTCAGCTTTTGTTTGTTGGCCGCAAGCCTAGTGTCGTATTTTCGGATAATTCCATGTAGTTTTTCAATGTACTGGTATAATTGCCGCTGATCGCAGGCCTCCACATCCTGCATGCTCTTCAACTGTATAAAATCATGCTCTGAAGCAGCTTCACTAGAATCTTCCCCAGCCGCTGCCTCCGCCGCCACAGACATTTTTTGTATTTATAATTTTTTTGGGGGGCTTCCTATGAAGGTGTAAATTGCCAGGTCAGAGAAATATTCGATTTTGATGCACTTGATATAACAAGTTATAGCAAAACAAAACATAAATTTCGTCGATGATGTCAAAATGTACGGTCTGACTCAAAGAAATATACCAAAATATACCGTTCCATTTTTAAAATATACCGTATATATACATTCTATATACATATTCCTCGCTTTTGATATTCCATCGAATATTACTAGCTAGCCCCACATAATTTGATCCAATTAATAAACATATTTTTTACTTAACTGGTTTATTTAAACTACGTGCTATTATTGGATTAGCCTAAGAAAAGGTTTTAGCAAAAAAGGTGAAACAAAAAAAAACTTAAGAGAGAATCGTTAATATTGCTCAATTTTGATATTCCGTTGAATAATACTGGCTTACTAAAACCCCCAGCCCTGTCCACATAGTTTTATCCCATTGATGAATAAATTTACAAACAAGTTAAAAAAAAAAAAATCGCAATGTTGTCACGTCAATTCATGAGAGCGTGGGATGACAAACATTTCCGCAATTATATAAAATCCTTTTCCACAGGGTATTCAGAATGTTGCCTGTCTGGTCCATACAAATGAATGTTGAGGCAACTTTTGTGCTGAATGATCAAGTAAGAACATGTTGCTGCAACAAAAAATGTTAATAATTGTATATCAACTGTGGTCACTAATATGATTAAAAACACTTTTCCTGTCTAGCGATTGATCAAGGCTCAAACAAACAAAAACGGCATGTTGGCATTTTAGTAACGTGTTAAAATATGAAAATATGCATATAAAATATTCTTATATTGCCCGCAGAACGCAGATACAAATATTTTTGAAATTTTTGTTGCGAAATTTTTTAAGCGGAAAATGAAAATAAAAAGGCCCTACTGCAGTTCAGTATGATTTTTGAATAACATTTAAAAAATGAACTCGATCAGTGCTGAAAGTTAGCTTGAAATGGATTTTTCGTCATGGCGTGCGCCTGCCAGCCCACATGATCCTAAAAAAACTTCAAAGTCAGAACAAGCGGCTCAGGGCAGCTAATGTTGGGAAATTTACAAAAAGGACGAATCATATTTTCACACAAGTATAAATTATTTACTGGCCGACATGTGCCATAGTACTTTTTACTCTACAGAAGATGAAATTATCTCACATATAGGGTTCTAGAAAGGCTGTTAGTTTCAAGCAGAAGTTAGCAATACAACATGTATATTCACAGGTCACAAAGCATTTATTTTCTTTTAATACATACATTCAGATGGTCAAAAATCAAAAAACCTGATCGAAAATGGATAACAAAAATCAAAAAACCCGGGAAAACTAAAAAAAAATTGTGCTTGCATATGATGTGTTCTGCACAGCTTTTTAACGATTTGGACTTGATTGGAGGCCGAGAAATCAAAATTTGGCGGATTTCAAAAGTAGAAAATTTATATTTCGTTACGATAGATCAATCGTCCAGGCTGCTGGAATTGCCCGTGCCCGGGGCTCTGAAAGAACGAGGGCGAAAGCGAAGGAAGAGAGAGAGAACGGCTGCATAGACTGCAGCAATAATATAGGGTATAGGGTATAGGTATCACTGGTGCACCACTGACTTTTTGGCTAATATTGGACCGAACAGAAATAATGATCTCAGTTAAAGAAAAATTCGACTAATACTAAAAAAAATGTTGTATCGGTATATTTTGAAAATGTGACGTATTTTCGGTATATTTGTGAGGGTCAGACCGTATATTTTATACATAAATATTACCAACAACAAACAAAAAATAATTGCAAGGCGGCGGGCAGTTTAATAGCAAAATATAAAAATAAATGTTTAAAGTTTGAGCACGTCCAGTTAAAAATCGAAAACTCCAAGATGGGATTCGTTTTGTCGAAATTTCGGGTTCGTATTTGGGCAAAACAAACTTTTTGCATGCATATTAAAATATGACGTGCCCATGATTCTAATTATAGAAGGAAAAATCAACGGAGGAGGTTCTGGAGGCCCTGCAAGTACAGATCAAAGACCTGGAGAAATACATGATAAATACTCAAGAGAGGAAGCGGAGCTTCGTCACGAACTTTCTAGGAATCACAATTGGCGCATACATCGTTGGTTTTGGATTATGGTGTTGCTTTTACTTTCCACCGACATGGAAAGAGCGCATCGTGTACTTGGTACCGCTGCTCCTGTTCCCCGTTATGTGAGTAATGCAGTGATTTGATGATATCACAGAAATGACGCGCCAACTCAAATCTCTGATTTTTTGCACTCTAGCATCGTCTTCATGCGGCAGATGTTTACGTGGTACTTTCAGCGCAAGCTCAACAAAAATGGCGATAAGCTAGCCCAGCTGAAGGAGAAGAAGAAAAAGATATTAGAGCAGGTCATGGACAAAGAGACCTACAAGGTAGTGCAGACCAATATGGCCACTGGATGTCAATTGCTTGTCTTATTCGTTCTTTTCTTTAACAGGTGGCAGTGAATCTCCTGGAACGCTTCGGGGACAGGAAGTTAAACCAGTCGTTTAGTCGTTCCCCCGCAATGCAGCCTCAACGAACGCCACAACCTGCAGCAAGACTGCCAGGAGCCAGTACGCAGCAGAGATTGTTGACTCCGTATAGCAGCGTCTACCGCAACGTCAACAACAACAATCTAAACAGCTCGACACAGTCGATGACGTCAGCATCTCCGAATGTGGGCGCAGTGCAGGAACTGCGTCGGCGTACGCCTTTTCCAGTGGTAGATCAGAACCGGTCACGTAGCGCAGTGGACCGTATTGTAGACTTTATTGTAGGAGACACTCCGATTCGCTACGGCATGATCTGCAAAGAGTGCGATGGCCATAACGGTGAGAATTGAATTGATGTGTTACGTCCGACACTCTACTGTCGAATTGTGTTGCTCCTCCAATAGGTATGCTGCCGGAGGATGAATATGTTTTCACTTCATTTCGTTGTGCCTTTTGCAATGCTTTGAACCCAGCGCGCAAGAAGCGACCAGTGGCTCCTCGACTCTCACTAAATCAGCAAACACCACCTTCAAACAATCGCATCGATAGCTCCGGCAGCGATTCATCAGATGACTACGACTCTGGTAGCGAAATTATTGCATTTTCCACTTCTTCCACTTCCACTTCCACTTATCTTTCAGATAAGGAGCAACTGTCGCGCCGGGCTTTGTTACAAGATGAGCCTTCGGATGACATTGATAAGGAGGATGTTGAGGCCAATCCCAGTGCCCAAAGTGCAGCAACTGTGACCGAAATAGGAGCAATGGAGACTGAAACTACTGAGGCTGTAGCTGAGGAAGCTGCTGGAGTGGTCGAGGTCGACAGCAAAGCCGAAGCTGAAGAAGCTGCTGGAGCTTGCGACGGCAAAGCCGAAGAAGCATCAAGCTCCTAAACGATCGCCCTCATCAGCTTTAGGCGCGAGTTGAGCAAAGTTTTTACATTGTTTGCTTAATAGTTTACTAATTTAACACTTTGTTGGTAAGAAAAATGGAAAGATTTACTTCTGTTAGCCTGAAAAAAAAATGTCAAATTGCAGATATTGAACTGACTACATTTTTTGCAAGTCGCATCTAAAGCTCCTTTCAGCCGCTTTCTCTAATGGTAATAAACCAAGCGGCCACGCCACCCACCTATGCATTTGGCTGGCACCACACCCCGAGCTCGCACTGGAGCTGTCAGCTTAGAAGGAAATAGATAATTAAAATCTTGACAAAAATAAGGCGACAACTAATGGCATAATAATTTAAAACGCGCCGGGTGACAAAAAAGGAAAACTTGAAAACAGTCGCGATATACCCAGCAGTAGCAGCAGCATTAGCACCAGCACCAGCCAATATCAGCTTACAAGCGCGAGAACAAACACATGGATGCTTTTGGTCCAGCCAGGGCTATGCCGCGCTGGAGACTGGCTACAAAGACTGCACTTTGCGAACGGTCAACCATTTGAATTTCGCTGGCTTTTATTTTTCTCTATTCTATTTTTTCCGGGCCATTGATCAAGGCTAACGAGATCGATCGGCTGGCGTTGGAGCAACGTACCACAACGCATTAGCCATACCAGCGTCGACCACCTACAAGTTGTAGAGCAGAACAGGCAGGCGGCGATTGCGGGACTAGACTGGACTGGACTGGCTACGCTGTGCCGCGCCCGCGCAAATTCCTGGCAATGGCTGACGGCAAGCACAAATTATAAGAATTAAACTAAATCTGTTACACTGTTGCCAACAATTGGGCACGTCCGCCTGTCCACGTCCGTCTTTATAACATGTTCATGCACACATGTGCTTGTGTGTCGTGTTGCTGCGACCTGGGGCAATGGGTGCTGCCTGATTAGCTCATAATTTGTGTGGCACTGGGGTTTTCATGCCATGTAATTGAGTTTTCCATCGAATTCTGCATCGGCTCTGTGTCTGTGACGTAGCCAGCCCAGGAAGTCGCCGCGCGCGTTGGTGCGTAAGTTGATTCCACCTCCACTTCCGCGGTTCGAGTGGACTGGCGCTGCGCATGCGTTTGTGGAATAGAAATCCGTTCCAACGCCGACAGAATAACGGGTTATGGAAGACAGAATTGCCAAAGGCGAAAGGAAAACAAGACTAGGGATGGAAGAACAAGTAAGGGAAAAGGTCTTGAATTCAAATCCATTATTGAAATCAACGCATATGCAGGACATGTACATACTTGCAAATTTCATATCATATAGCCAGAGTATAGCCACATATCGCCCAACCCTAGCATAGAAGTGAACCTCAGGCCACCTCTCGAATACGTGTATTATGCATTAAACGAGAAGTAAGATCTAGTGCAAGTTCGCTGCACTGAAACCAGTTTCCAATGACATGGGCTGCTGGCACTGCCTTCCGGGCAGGCAGGCAGGCGTCGGCAGCATGTGGCATGCCAAGGCGATGGCCTCTTACACGATCCTATCCGAAAAGCTCTGAATAAAGTGATTCACGAACTGATCCCCAACATAGGCAGAGGCGAGACAAGGGCCGGTAATAAAAGTAGAAACAACAGCGACTGGCAAATGGCAATTGAAAATTGGCCATACGCCAACGCGCAGTTGTCAAAATACAAAACCAGCCCAGAGATTTCTTTTGGCCAAACGGCAAGTTGGGGCTTAGTTCATTGCTAATGACGGCATGTCTGTAACTCGATATTCATACCTATGTATGTATATATTATATACATACATGCAATATATACACCATTCCTTCATACAATATATCTATGCTATTCGTAGAAGTTTGTCTGCACAAGTATGTGTTCGCACAGTGAGTGCTTAAGCACATTACCTGCATACTGCATGCATGTCCGTCTCTCGATTCGGCGGTACGTACCTCCAGCCGGCCCCGTTCGATTTATTTGTTCGCGCTCTGCAACAAAGACTCATAATAATCTGTTGGGCCAATCAAGTAAAATATGCGCGAGATCAGTCAACTACAAAAGCAACAACCACAGCCCCAGCAATTGCCACGGCCGCTACGAGCCGCCAATGAAAGTGAAACCGATTCAGACCGAGAGACTGAGACTGAGAGTGAGACCAGACTCGACTCGGTTCTAGCCTGCACCAGCATCCGCTATATAAGCCTGATGGCTGCTCACCGCAGCAACAGTGCAGCGCTGACCAGGAACAGAACCTAATTGGAAGTTTAAGCTATCGACTCATAGTCCAATTTGGTCAAGGATTATTCCCTGCCAGCCAAAGCCAATCTCGCGCCACTCGCACAAACATTCGTCCCGATGTTCTTCAAGCTGGTAAGTGGGTCCATGCCTCCAGACCTCCTCTTCCAAGAAGCAACCAATCATCTCGGCTCTCATTCAGCTGTTCGCTTCCTGTCTGGCTTTGGCTCTGGCCAAGCCCCAGCATCCACCTGCAGCGCAGTATCCGGCCGGCGTGAACCCGCAGGACTGCCCCGGCTTCCCAATCTGTGATAACGAGCGACTGCACAGCCCCAAATCGCAGTGGGGAGCTCCGCAGAATCAATGGCAGCCGCAGCCACAATGGCAGCAACAACCGCAAACGTGGCAGCCGCAACCCCAGTGGCAGCCGCAGCCTCAAACGTGGCAGCCGCAGCCGCAATGGCAGCCACAACCACAGCCCTCTTGGAATTCGGCACCTGCGCCTGCTGCAGGCGGAGACAAATATCCCGCTGGTGTCAATCCCCAGACCTGCCCCAACTATCCGTACTGCGACGTGAATGCCGGACACGCTGGCGGTCCTGTGGCGGCTCCTCCGCTGCCAGGCTGGACAGAGCGTCTTTACCCGGCCGGAGTTTCTCCACACGAGTGCCCCAACTTCCCCTATTGCCACTAGAGCAATCTGGGGTGATGAAGATTCTATTCTATCCCTATCGTTTCTATCTCCCTTCCCCGCAGCTTCCCCAACCTAACGCTTCGCCCTATGTTCTCAATTAGTGAAAATTGATTTGAAATTCTGTTGTTGGCGCCGAATAAAATGCATGTTGGTCAAAGAATCAGAGCTTAAGAGCTGGTTTTCCTCTGCCAGGCAACTAAAAGTGAGAAGTGAGTGGAATGATGCTGAGGCCATTCTCTTGCTCGAGCAAATTCCTGATCTTGCTGTAATATCGGGAGTGGTGTGGTGGGGAACTAGGAACTTCGAGTATCAGCTCGGAGTGCCGCTCTATGTCATGCAACCGGAATGTGGCGTGCTCCGCCCTTGGCTTACAACACGCGTAGTGTACTGGTTGGGCAGACCAAGCGTTGGCCTGCTGGCGGTTGACCTCAGATGGAGCTGGTTGAGTGAGTGCTTTGTGAAAGTCGTTCTTGCAAAACTCCGGCTTAATTGCCGTCTTTAGACGCTGCCCAAGGTCAAGTGCAACTGCAAATTATAATCTTGCATGGGACTGGTACGAAGTGGGCGAATGGGAGATGTGAGATCCAATCCAGAGCGTATACGTACAATCGAATTCAGTTTATTTACAATCATTAACTTAGGAATTGTATAATATTTACAGTCAGGAGGGTTGGGCTGGGTTTTATTGGTTTGGTGGAGCGTTTTGGTGGGGCTGACGACCTAGATCCAGCCGTGTCCATGGTGCGCTGAGCTCCAGCCCTTGTGGTAATCGTGATGATCCTCGTAGACATGATGGACTGGCACCTCCTCGTGATGGACGTGAACGGGCACTGGGAGGATCTCCTCGTGGTGTACGTGGTGAACAGGAACCTCCTTGTAAATGGGCACGTGCTTTACCACCGGAACATGAATCTTCTGTACATGATGGTGGTGAACCGTGTGAACCTTGTATGGAACATGGATCGTATGATGTTCGCTGCGAATTGATTGGAAACATGAAAGTGAAATCAGTCCAAGAGCTGGGAGGCTAGACTTGACTATCAGCAATTGGCACTCGTCGTTTCGCGTATTAGCTAATCAGATTGTCAACTCTACTTCAGTTGCTTGAACCCTGCCGATCGCAGTCAGCAATGGTCGATTGTCACTTGGCAGCAGGCAGCAGACAACAACCGCGACGATCGATGCTCGGAATTAGCAATTAAGTCAGCAAATTATGGGCGCATTATAATGAACTGAGTGCCAATCGCAGCCTGGGAAATTCCTCTACGGCGGAAAGTGAATCGGATCGTATCGGTGCTAATCAGCCGAAGTGCCATTAGCGTTCGATTGCTCAATAATCGAATGCATATTTCATATCTATCTCACTGCCAGCGTTTAAAAGCACATACGAATCGGAAATAACCATTTTTATCGACTGGTGCTGGTTATTTACGGATCTGGTACGAGTACTCGTATATAATTAGTTGATATACTCACTGTTTGCCGAAGAAGCCTGGGCTGGGCGCACAGTAAGCCACGGACAATAGGGCGAACATGATCTGAAAGAGGTGCATGAATAGGATGAATGAAGCTTGAACTGGAACTTTTCTGAGTTAATCGAATTCTTTGCGGATCTTCATATCTAAAGATCTTCCAGTCTGGAGTTTTATCATTGAAACATGAAAAACAGAGCCTCTGCACAGTTGTCCTTTGTATTTAGACCTCATCACATCTAACCACTTGTTTCAATCACTTGATGAACTTGATCCTTTCTCACATCACATCCTCTGGTTGCTGAACACTTACGAATGCTTTCAGGGCGGACATATTTGGTCAAATGAAATCACGAGCTCTTCTACACTGGAAATACTAGTAACGTAACGTATAATGCGAAAACCGAAGCACTGTCAATGCCTGCCGCTGACTGATAACCACAGGCTGGCGACCCATCTGTTTTATACTCGTACCCCCCAATGCAGGCGCCACAGCCGCAGCCACAGCGAGCCGAGTCGAACCACGGGCGGCGGCGACTGCGCTGCGCAAGACAAACGTGACGGGGACGCATGCGCAAGACAGCAGCAACGGCAAAAGTGGACGACTGTTAACAGATAGGTGTGTATGTATGTACGTACGAGGTACATATGTATGTACGTTCATACAAATCTTTTTGACTCTTCTGGCCGCTTCTGTTTACGAGGGTTAGGACCGCGCTGGGCTGACGTCGCGTCGTCTGTCCATGCTTCACTTGCTGGCAAACGACAATGAAGCCGCATTCGGATGACGCAGACAATCGAACTTTGACTGTCGCCGGCAGAGACAATGATGTTGTACTACAGTTGCAGCTCGGTGATGTTTTGTGAAATATGATACAAATTACATTAATTTCATAATCGCGACTATGTGGCCAGGCCTTCTGCCCGCGCGCCGAAGTAGCAAAAGTAGCAAGGAGGGGATTGCATGGGATGGGAAGGGATGGGAAATCATTCCAAGTGAACGACCAAGTAGCACAGCCATATGCAGACATCACTATTGAACGGTACGGGTCACTTAGCGGCCTTCTGAAGAGATCAGCACTGAACATCGAAAAGTGAACGTTGGAGAGACGGCAGCGAATTGTCACATCGAGGTTGTCACACTAATCCCAGTCCCTTCCATATCAGGTTGAAGACATCTTGAGAGTACGACCTTGAACGTTACAATAGCATATACCATACATGTACATATGTATGTAATATGGGTCAGCATGGAAATTACAGGAGAGAGAAAGAGCACACAAGTAAATATGTACATATGTATGTATGTATGTACATATTTACAATATATAGTCGCATCGTGTGTACATATTGACGTTATAAAATCACGAAACACGTACGAGACGCGCTTCACATAAGATAAATGAAATTAGCAATAAAACGCATTTCGGGCAATTACTTAACGGTAATGCCTCACATGATTTTAACAGGTGTTCGATGCGTAGATTCCCATTCTGTCCCTGATATAACATTAAAGTAGCTAATGCATGCTGAATGCTGCACGCTGCACGCTGCATGTTGCAACCAACTGTTGCAACTCTGTTGACAAAACTGTTAACAATCCCCGCTGCTCCGCATGAGTGCGAATCGGTAAAGTTGGGAGCATGAGTGGAGTCTGCTCGGTGGTATGTACATGTAGGCCAGTGTGCCTTTCTGCGTCTGAGGGCGCACCGCGCCACCATTCCCATTCCCATCCTGCCCCAGCCGGCGCTCGGACGTTGCTGCATTTGTGGCCAATTGCTAGTTTCAGACATGGCCAATTGCATAATGGATATTTGTTGTGATAAATACGCGGTGGCCCCTACCGCCCCTGGCCCGTGCGTGTCTATAGCATTCGTTGTGCTATGGTAGCTGTACTGCTCTGGATGATTACTTTCCTTTCGCTTTCTGTGGACGCCTCCCGAGTGGCGAATGCAAATACTTCCTGCTGGGTGAGTTTTGGATAACTGCGAAAGTGGAACACCCGATGCTACGGAGAGGAGCCCGAACTACTGGGAACTGGAACTGGGGGACTCGGTCATTGTGGGGCTGTGGCCTGCTGGTCAAACAGCTGTTGCAGCAAATGTTGCTGTCTATTTTCTGCGATTATGATCCTACAACACAAGAGCTGGCCAAAACTAGTTTCTGGGGAAAGAGCTTGGAATATAGTTAAAGATTACATATGTATACGCGTATGTTATGCACTGCCAAACGCTGATGCTGATCAAGAATATACATAAGTATGTATAGATTCATAATGGCGTCAAAGACGAATTACTGGCTAATGCTGTTTTATTGGACATGTTGGTGTTGGTGGGTTGTCAATTAGCTTATCTGTGATTATATACATATGTATATTTAAATGGTTAACGTTTTCCACGAATCGGTCACAGTAAACGAAAACCTGATTATTATCTCATACTCATACGTTTGTTTGTACTTATAGTCGAGGCTTACATGATAGGAGAAAGATTGATTTGCAGAAGCAAACGAATTTGCAGCATGAATGAGTGGGCGACTAGGCATTTTATTTAGTGAATGTCGATCAGCTGGGGCTTCCTGTTGGCCCACATTTGTCAATCAGCTCTTGACAAAATTTATGCGCCCTGGCAGAAACCGTTTACCCAATCGATAAGTATTACATGACGTGGAGGAGCCCCCAGTCAGCCAGCTAGTTGATCGTTCCTGCGGATCCGCCGTCCACCCACGATCAACCCACTCGCAGTGGTATCTGCCGCCAATATCTGTTTTTAGACACGCGCTGCGTATTGAATTTTCACGCAAAAACGCTAGAAACGGCGCCACCAAGTGGCTGCCATTTGCCCACTTGGCAGGCGCAATGCGTCCCTCAAAAGCGCCGATCGCCCTCTGAATTTTGATTGACTTTTGAAGCGATTTTGGATTTCGGATAGGGTCGATGTCGATGGTGCCGGAGCTGGAGCCGGAGCCGAGGGACAAATACCAAGCAAACCTCGGTGCTGCCTGTTGCATTCAAGTGATATGTAGAGCAGCGCCTCCCACAAAATATTCACACAAATAAATTATTTTGCAACATTTGTCTCGTCTGCCAATACTGATACCTGCTTCTATTTGGCAATCTTCAAGAAGTGACCCTTTTTGAGGGCGTGGCCACGGAGAACATTAGCGGCTGCTGTTGCTGTTGCTCCTTGCCTTTAGAATTCCCAGGAATTCCTGATATGCAAATGAACGAACCAGAACGAGCATGAGCTCATTTCTCAAGCTTCCAGCGAATCGAGGAGACTCGACTCCTCTGCCACGATAGTTCATCTTCCGCCAGCGCCAGCGTCGATGTCGATGCCAACAGCGACGCATGCGCACAGACGCAGACGCCGGCAGTGGCAGTGGCGATGGTGATGTCGACGCGCTGATGAAGAACAACCCCGGCCTGAATTAGACGACGCCAGCGAGCATGACAAGGTCGGCACTTAAAGGTGTCGCCAATTACACACCTCCTACAGCAACACCACCCCTCCACCGCCCCCAGTCACCGGCACCCTTTCGTGCCCTTTGACTTTTTTTCATCTTTTTTTCGGTGAAAACACACACGAGTTAACGGTTGAGCAGCATCTGCTCGGCATCGGCATCGGCTGCCGAAGACGAAGCCCACACCAAATACATGTGTGGCCAGTGTGTCCGTTAAATTTAAATTTCTCATCGCTTAGGGGGGCTAACAAAGCGGAAAAGAAAGATTCTCGGCTTCGGGTGCGATTCTAATTTGAGTGGAGTGCTCTACTGACTCCCGCCTTGCAACCAAGAACTCTGACTCTAATTGCGCGCACACTCGAGCCATAATCACGCAAAGCAGCGTCTGCTTCCGTTAGCACTCTTCAATTGATAGGTACATACAATATGAGCTCATATAGCGACACAAAAGCTCGAAAGAACTACTTACTGGGTTTCATCGATACTTACTATTCGAAAAGCGAAGCTGTTCGGTAAATCGGTAGAAAACCCTATTATGTGCAATAATATAATAGAAACATGATACATATCTACAAACTGAAGCTATAAGTAAGTTGGTTTTCTGGGTCTGTGTGTGGGCATCAGAGAGCTTTCTTCCCCTATTCTCTTCTCTTCTCTTCCAGAGTGGACATGACTAATACCAAATACAACAAGAGCATTCGAGCTTCGCTTATCTTTTAGTTTCAATCCTCTTCTTACCATTTCGTTTTGAAACGTTTTTCGAGAGTCATTGCCAGCTATTAGGCGGAAAGAAGACGCGGAAGACGGACTCCCAAGCAGCCAGAGGGCTGGGCTGAGCTGGGCTGTCTGCCCCCTCTTTCCCGACTCATCCCCACATCGAATCATCGCCCCAAGTGGGCGCAGCGAGGGCAATGCTAATGATGATAATGATGATGACGATCTGCGGAGCCAAACTCCAGTGCCTCTCGTCTGCCCATGCCCCTCCGATGTCCCACCTGTGTTCGAATCTAAACGCTCCATACAACAAAAGCTTTGTGAGCGCTGCTGCTCTGCCGGTGTCTCTGTCACAGCGCAGCCGGCGGCGACGCTGCCGCTTTGCTTTCTGCTCTTTCGATGAATTTCAAACACAACTAAATCAGAATTTTTATTCGGCTTCAATTGTTTAGCGAGTGCGGATCGGCGGCGAGTTCGAGTCGCAGCGAAAGCAAACCAAACGAATCGAGACGAGACGAAAATCAGAATTGAAAGCGGGTTGCAAAAATATATTCGTAATCCAATGCAAAGCAAAGCAAACCTAGACAAAACTGAGCTCAAGTCCGAAGCTAGTGAGTGTAGACCGGGCGGGAGAGAGATTTCTTGTCATTAGCCAAAAATACGCAGTGTCAAAGCGCAACGTACCTCTCCATTCGCCCTAATCGCAGTCGTGAAGCGGAAAGGCGTTGAAGAAGCTGACCCGAATCCAGGGACCCCAGAAGAAGTGGTTGAAACATTCTACATACTCGTATATATATATATATATACTACAATAGTACACTTCGTAAGATTTGTTTTTAAATTGTGAGACCTACATATTCGTTGCAACCAACAGCCACAAACCTTAGGACGGCTTCAGTTGGCCTCTAATTAATCATCAAGATTCTTCATCAAGCCATCAAAGTCGGCAAATAAAAATAAAAAATTATTGTTTTTTGGGGTTTTTGGCCAACTTGGGTCGGATCGGCTTGGATCGGCTTGGATGATGACAAACGCTGGATTTACGCATTGATGAGCACTTTGTCATTCGAGTTTTTAATTATTGGGCAATTCTTGTTTCTAACCATTGGTCGAAAGGTCACAGGCACGGCACCCTCTGCCTCTGGAATGGGATGAACTCATCGTCAAGGAAGTTCCTAGCCGATCCGAGCCGAAGCGCTTCGTTGGAGAGGTTATTGACTC